CCACAGACCCCCACCCCTCATAGAAAATCCACTTTATGCCCCCAAAAGTACCACATTCATATCCCAGTCACAAGGTTATGCTGATCACGTATTTACAACCACAAGTTTTGAAGAGAGCGTCAATGGAAGCGTGGCAAATTCTGCACCGCCCAAGTTGCCTATCGGGTGTTCACCACTGCATTAAAGCACCTGACTTTTCTCTTCATTTATTACCTGTTACCTTGTTTTGGCATGTGGCTTTGGATAGGAACAAACAAAGTCTACTTGTTGGTTTTCATCACGGAATCTGTAACCAGACAGCGGAATAGGAGAGACCTAAAATTGGTTGGTGGGGTGGTGATGGGACCAAATAAGGTAAAACAAAATAGTCCCAACAACAACTCTTTGTTGGAACCTCATTACACTTAGGAAAACAAAAATAATTGCTACAGGGTGTTATTGATCAGGTGGACCACCTTTTGGTTGGTCACCATCAGAACAACTCTTGGTGCATGCATTAATGTCACTCTCAATTTCAACCCTTGCTGCTCCTAGGAGGGATGCTGCAAATGCCTTGTCTTGATAACTCAGTCAACACACTGTCTGTGGAAGGGGGTTTCAGGCCCAAAGGCAAGGGTAGCCATGGTTTGCTTACTGCCTCTTTCACAACCTTGTCAACAACCTCCTCTGCCTGCATGCATGCATCGTAACACACTACATGGTGAGAGGTCACAGCCACTTTCTTTCGACTTCACTCAGTTACTAACACTCAATGAATTTCCAACCTACTTCTACACGTCACCATGCTATTTCATGCAATTCGAAACTCAGCAAGTGAAAAACACTAAAGTTTCCTCATTTTCATTTTCAGATGTTATTTTAGTTCTGTTATGATTTTATCTCAACATGGACTTCCTGAGACCCATTAGAAAGCATTTATATGAGTGACTGGCTAATGGTTACCATGATCAATTAGAAAAAAAAAAAAAAAAAACCGAAAGTGTTGCATACCGGATAATTCTCTAAGGAACTTTGTGGCATGGTAAAAGTGTGACCTGTTGCATCAGCATTGAGCAACGCAGGCATATTCTGAGGTTTGATGAAAAATATATTAATAGTATCACAGATAAATAACTAGCAAAAATGAATCGCACATAGAGACATTAATCATTAACATGCAAAATACTATAGATACTAGGTTAATATCTTCATTGTTATGCTGAAACTCACCTTAGAGTAGGGAAAAGGAGCTTGAGGAGGTGGTACTGGTAACACTGGACAGCCCCATGAATCTGCATGCATCTGAAAGATCAAGTAACCACAGGTAAAACTACATTCATAACCGCAATATCTACATCTCCCAAGCCTGAGAGCTATAACATGAAAAACATCATATCATTATCCTTGAGTTCTGTTAAAAAAAAAAAAAGAAATTACCCCTGGAAACGGTTTCCAGTGCCAATGTTCAGCAGTAGGCTGCCACAAGGGATAACCAGGAGTGCTCCACATATGCATGCCAGCCGTTTGAGTGCTAGGTTGTCCCCACTTAGGATATATAGGAGCCATAGTATGGGTGTGATTAGAATGATATGGAGGAAAGGCCATGATTGGTCTTTGAACACAATAGCTCCTTTCTCTTTGATTCAACCATTTCCGATCTTCTTCCTTGGGAAAGATTTGTCTCCTATGCATTCTGTACTTCTGTTTATTTAAAAACTTGTTTAAGTATTGCAGATAAGAAATTGATCAACCATAACCTGTAATGTACATAATGACCTGAAGATGGCTTGCCACATTATGCCTTGTCAAGCCCTCCACTTTCATTAATTCTAATATTCTTGAAGGAATGGCTTGATCAATGCTTAGTTGCTCAACTGCCTTCACAAATTTTTTGTGCAGCTCAGGCGTCCAGTCTACCTGAGACCAAAACAAATACCAAAATTGTAACTCGGTGGAAAGACTACTTCCTAGATTTCCTATCATAGATTAGTTAAGTTTGACAATTCCATTATCAGTTCACAGTTGATTATAACTTCATGATTATGAATATGGAATGGAACCATGTCCGAGATTTCTTGATCAACTCCAGGAATGCAGACACAATAAATGGAAACATTGACAGATTAAACAGAAGTTTGGAAAAATTTTCCCAAATGTGTTACATAGTCACTGTAATTTTCAAGAAAACAGCAGCATGGACAAGTGGATTAGAGGAACAAAAACATCCTAAGAAGAATGAATAGTAATAAAGCAACTTACTTTCATCTTCTTTCGTCTTGGCTTTATCTCGCATGAATCACTAAGAACGCCTACTTTATTTGCAGATTTTGTATTTTTGTCAGGGTTGCTTAGAACCTTTCTTTTTTGTGTATGTAGAGAGGCAATACTCTCAACCTTGGAAGCGTCAACTAAATTCACTTCCTCCCTAGGTAAAGTCATATCAGATTTCCTTTCTTGAGGAGTACTTTCAGTTTCAGCAATATTGTCACATGTAGTTTCGACAGATTTAGATTCTCCATCATGTTCCCCACTTTCTTTTTCTGTGGAGCAATTAGTCTGCTCTTGGCAATCACCATCGTCTAACAATCTTGTCCCATGCATCAATTGTGGGGTTGAAGGAGCTGGATATTTATCATTTCCAGGAGACAGTACATCATCATTATCAGTAAACCTGGATACTTTCTCTATATCAATGGACACTCTACTTTCATGTTGTTCATTGTCTGTTGGGAGCTGCAACATAGTCACTAGAGATTCCTTGACAGGTTTAAGCGATTCACACAGGATACTTGTCCCAGAACTGAATGCCTGATTGAGTTCAATCACATGAGAAATTATTATTCTCATATTAAGATAATAGTAAATACCATGGTAGTATCAATACAACATCACAGACCTTGTGAACAACATGCTGCCAGATATTTCTGAGTTTGTCCTCAGAGAGTGGTTTGCTGAGGAACTCAACTGCACCAAGCTTAAAAAAAATGGAGCTGAGTCAAGAAGCTTGCATTAACAATCAGAACCAAAGGAAAACGTACTTGTCTAGTGAGTTAAAGATCATATTTTTGCACAAAATATTTAACAGACAATCCAAATAAGTTATCAGTAATTTTGTCAATAATTAGAGATGAATCAAATGTTTGAATTGACTAACTACAATAAAGAAAAAAAGCCTAACATTGAAATATAAGATTGCAGTTAGCTTAGCTCAAATAATATGGCTTAATAAGATATTTAAGCATAAACAATGAGGATGTAAGCTTACCGCTATGCACTTCATCATGGTGTTCAGGCAATGGTTGTTAGAAGTCACTACATGAGAAGTTGGAAATATCACTGGTAAGAAAGATTAAAATGAGCATAATACAGCTTTGAAGCAAACTTTTCCCCATATTTTCCGCGCAATGTTCTCTTTTAGATCATTCACAAATTCAGTTGATAAAAAAAATACTAAAAACTGACAAGTTGCAGGTATGAAAACAACAGCATGCAATGCATTACAAGCTCTCCCAAATTGGACTTCAAAGGAATATTGATGTTTATTTCCTTATCTGCAACTGGTTTTGGTTCAGCATTCAAACGAGATAATTGATTTGAAAAGACCATTATTATAGACCAAAGATTTATAATTTTAAAGAACTGACAGAGGTTAAACTAGCAAATTCATTTTGGTCTCTATGCTTACTAATTGTTGGCAAGTCCTTGGCATTCTCAAGAAATTTGAAACCTCCCTGGCTACTGCTCGAACTCACCTGCAATTAGGATGAATGCATTCAGTTAAAAATTATATCATCAAAGTTGTAACAATCATAAGATTCAGATTTAGAACTTTAACAAAGATACAAGAATTCTTATGATAGAAAGGAAAAATATATAAGACGACTAAAGTCATCCCTAGTGATTAGACTTTAAAAACTTTCAAGTTATACCAATGAAAGAAGTATATTTTATTAAATTTGGCAGCAACAAAGACCTTCATTTTCTAATTTTAAATTTTGCAATTACGGCATAATGATTTTTCATTATATAGAAAATGAAAATCCATTACCTCTACTATGGCAATGTGGAAGCTTTCAGGTCTACTTGAGATTGCTGACAAGGCTTCATTCTCATCACAGAATGTAGAAACTGTACAGAAACTCGAAATTTACTTAACAAATGAACAGAGAAAACAAGCAATGTACAAGAAATGGCAGAGATGCGGAAGACAAGGAGCAGATAGTAAAAGAACCATGCGACTTCAGTAAAAATCAAATTATACTTGGGCTGATCCTCAAGACATAAGATATAATTTCAGTTAAACTTGTTTCATGAGGCCTGTTTTTTACTAATAAATCCATGTCTAGGCAACTGAAAGGACCGTCAATGTGCAAAATTAGTGTAGACTTGATAGTTCAGACACAAATAATTGACCATTTTTTATACTTCAGATCTTTACAATTTAGCCTGTATTATTCAGATTACTGACAAATTTAAGTTTTGAAAACACTTACAGTTTTAGTGTAAATAAAAACTTTAGCAGCTTCGTAAGATGCAAAGAAATCCCATGTGTGAAAACACCGAGCATGCAAAATTAGGAGGACGGTATTGTTTCAAATTTTCAAGGCTCCAAAGGGCAACTAAATTTTGTCAAAATTTCTAGGCTCCACAGAGAAACTAAAATCTGAGACCACAATTATACCAATTGACCATATACGAATTGTAAAGCAATGAGGCTTTACAAGATGCTATCGGATAGAAAGATGGGGACCGACTTACCCACTATGAGCCATACGTGGGAATTGTTAGATGAAGATAAAGAAGTGAGCCATGCCATAACAAAAAGAAGGAATCCAAAAAGTCTTACCATTATAGTCCATGGCTTCAAGCTTTGCCCTTATCTCGGCAGCAGAAATGCTGTCTTCCTCAAGAAGAAGAACCTTGAGTCCTTTGGGAAAATCTTTCCATTCTTGTAAATCATTGGCAGTGAAAACCATAGCTGGCTTGGCATCGTTTCTCAGTCTCCCACGGAAAGTAAAAGATTAATACCGCTTATCGAAGTCCAATTCCTTCAGCACAACCATGAGATCACAAGCTTGATTCAGTTGGCCAGGCTTCAGCATAAGACTTCATAATTTAAAAACTAAACAAGAAAAAAAACTCCATTACAGACTCAATTTTGTTCAAATGGTAAACAGCTCCTAAATAGCCAACAGAAAATGCAGAACACTTCCATGAGACCTAAAAATCCCGAAACAAGGTTCAGATCAAAACTGTCGTACCCTTCGATCATCAGTGAAACAGCTGGAAGATCACAAAAAACAGAATCCCACCAATTTTTTCAGGAAGAATTTTCTACGAAAACCAGAATCAAAGACTCTCCATTTGCATCCCAAATATCTCATTGCTGATTCCGCTTTCACAGAACAGCAAACAGACAAATATGTCATCCCAGAAATCAAGATCCCATGAAGACCAAAAAAAAAAAAAAACTCAGGTACCACTTGACAGCAAAACAAAAGAAGAAGACTTTACACCAAAAGACGGGTCAGGCAAGCTATTCATATCCGTAAGTCCAATAAACAAGCTGAAGGCTCAAAAGGGTAGACATGCATGCACATATTTTAATTGAAAATGTACAAAATTCAAAGAAGCAACAAAGGTGAAGACTTGGACTTGATCCGAGAGAGAATTGGCATGCAAACAAAAAAAAGCATATAAAGAAGAGAAAAAAAGAAAGGTGTTCCTTGTGAAGCGATTTTCATTACCTCGGCATAAAAGAAAATGATTGTTCAGTTTCTTTGCTTAAGCTTTGTTCTTTCTTTCTCCTCTTATTGCATTGTTAATAAACAGACGGGGAAGATGTAAAGAATGGAAGTTAAGGGAAGAAGAAAGTTAAGTGGTGGCTTTGGATGGTGGTTCCTGTGACCACTGAGCAGTTGCCATCAGCGGTTACGGACCACAAGTAAGGCTCTCAGAAACCTTTCTGCCACTTCTTCAAAGGTTAATATTCCAACACTACCCTTCTTCTGGGGATACCAGCAACTTCACCCATCAACCAAGAAGAAATGGTTGCAGGAAAACACCCTCAACTACTTATTATGGTAAAACTTTAAGGGAATAGTTTCTAATTGGTGCTGGACTTTTAGAGGTTTAAACCATTTTTATGATAAAGTAACATAACTTCATAAGGTGTCTCTTCCTCATCAGTGCCATTAATGGACTTCTTTTTATACTATTTATTATCCATTTATTTCTCTAGAAAATAGTTTATGAATTTATAGTCGTTGGGTGCCCAATCATGGTGCATTGATATTATCCGATGGAATAATCTTCCACTAAGCAAGTAGGTAAATATTTCTTGTACAAGTAAAAAAAGGTTTGCAAAGTTAAAAGGCAATGCAGTGCATTAAAAGAGAAAATTATTTCATTATAATTTTAGGATAATGAAATAGTTACATCAAGGGATTAAGTATTAACATAATTTTATCCTTTTAGTACAATAAGAAAATTATTTCATTAATTTTATTTAAACTCTTTTAATAAATAAAATAATTTAACACATTGTTTCAGTAGGGATGTAGGGACCAAGATACGAACCTAACAACCTTCCTTTCTTCCTTCTCTGTGTTGCTTTCACTATGTCGTCTTTCTCTCTTCTCCAAAGCTCTGAGTACGATGGGCTGGGTACCTGCAAAGGCACTCCGACGCTCAAGTCAATAATGGTCTTAGTTAGAGCAACTGAATCTTTCTTAATTTTCTCTTAGGGGAAAAACGTACCTTTTTTCTGGTCTGCTGTGTGTATTTAAAGGAGTAAAATAAACCGTTTACCTGAAATCTCGGGTGGTTACTGGAGTTGGCTATCTATAAGTTATAACTGCTAGATATTGAGTCAAGTACTTCCATGATTCACGGCGCTTGTTAGCCAATATGCGTAACTGTTTATTTGTAACCGCTAGATCACGATGTCGCATATTGTATGTCGATCATCATGCGTGTCGATCTGGGCGGACGACGTGTCGATTGTCGAGCCTCAACTGGACGACAACGCCACATGGTCGTATGTTATTATAGTCGGTTGTCTAGTGGTCGACCACACTAAGTGGTCGGATG